TTCGTGGCATTGGGGACTTCTACAAAAATCTGTCGACAAATCCAGGCTTTGGCTAAAATTGAACAATACTGGGCCACGCTTTACATGGAGAATTACATGAGTTCCTGTGCCCATTTTGGGCGTAATTCATGTTACATGTTTATTGGAAATAAAACCACTATACATCAGCTATTAACTGCATGGAGAAGAGAAGCCGACAGTAGCATAGTTAGTCAATAAATTCCTGTCTCCTACGGATGAAAACAGTTCAACGCTCTTTCCACAACAGCCCACAAATGAGGAAATTGATTCTGGTTCACATCCTCACACAAAAACCTGATTTAATATTGTAGCGTGTAGAGCCGTTGCTATGCAACGACCGCAAGACGGACGGATATACCAGGGCCGTTCCTGGGTAACGGTTAGGTAAACACAGTCCTGTTGCTAGTCAGCAGCACACTAGACTGTGTGCTCTAGTGAACTCTAAAGTGTGAAAATTGGGATAATGTTATAATTATTTGTAGTTACGAACTGTAAGTGGTCAACAAATCTAGTCACCAATCCAAACCCCGTCTATAGTCACCCGTACACTTGATAATTTTATACTGTGACTTAACATGGCCTCATCCTTTCTGAATTTCCGATTAGCTATTGTATGTATTTCTCTACCTCATTCGTGCTACAAGTTCAGCGCATTTTATTCTCTCTGATAGGTTTTGATTGTCCCATGAAACTCCTCATTATGCAGTTTGCTCCAATCTCCAGTTACTTCCTCTCTGTTAGATCAAAATATTGCACTCATCCCCCTCCGCTCGAAAAAGCCCAATCTAGTGCCCTCAACCAGGGCAAGAGACCTAGGTTTTGCATCCATGTCAAACAGAGGTCAAGTTCTAGTTTCATGTGTTAGAAAGAAATGCCGGTCCGGACATTAATTTGCTTTGGGGTTAGTAAAATGCGGGGAATTTCATGGAGAGCTGAGAAAGTAGCAGCATTTGATAAAGGCCTCTGCTCCATATAGCTATTTTACTAATTAGCGGACCCCACAGAGCACAGTCTTTCAAGAGAAGCTAATACAAACATCTTTTGGAACCCGAGCAATACCATTTTCGTAACAGCTCGTCACTGGCCACTAGCCCGAGCCAGTCGGATCCAATGATGATGAGATTGTTGGTCAACTGGCGTAGGTAAAGTGAAGACAAGAAATAATAATAAACATAAAAAGAAGAAATCTCCCAGAATGATAATAATAAAAATCTTACATACTATGACAAGACCTAGAAGCAGATGGAAGAATACCATTAAATAGATCTTACAGAAATAAGATGTGAAGTTATGGATCCAACTAGTTCAGGATATGGTTCAGTGATGGGCTCTTGTGAACAAGGTAATAGACTTCTGCGTTTCATAAAATTCTGAGAATGTAATCACTAAACGAGCAGCTATTTATTTTACAACGCTATATATATCCCTGTATATACCGCGGCGGACGAGGCAGCATAGTTGGTTGAGGCATTATGATACAATCCGGAAGGTCGCGGGTTCGAATCCTAATGAGGTCACCAAAATTTATAATTCACCTAATACTGTACTTCCAGCAGCACTATGGCCCTGGGGTCGACTACGCCACTAACAGAAATGAGTATCAGGAATCTTTCTGGGAGTAAAGGGCGGCGGGCCGGCGCGTAAGTTTGACAACCTCACCGCCGTCTGTGAGCCGATTGTCTAGAAAATGCGGAAGCCTCGACGTCTCACAGTCTTACCGGCCTCCACGGCCCTGTTACCTTTACTTTTACATAATACCGCAGAACATCAGGATGATTAGCGGGTAAGGATTAGAAAGGATATGTCGCGGCCTAATTTGAGGTCTTAACAGAGCACTTCCTTGAAGGGACTGAGGACAAATATGTGAACCTATACCCCCAGAATATGAACGAGGGATGTTACTTTCGGCATACAAAGAATTTGATTTTATATGTACATAAACTCCGAACCACAATTTCAATTAAAACAGCAAGGACAAATTGTGATTCATAAGTTTCGCTAGGTCTGTACATGGTACCAAGAGAAATAAGACTGACTGTAGGAAAGTAACGTGAACATCCAAAGGTAAGCTGTGTGGAGCTGTATGGCAATATGCACACACACACAAACATCACTGCCATAGGCTGAACACGAATCAGGACCTTACAAGCACTTAAAGCATTACACATGCTTGTTATCCGCTAAGATCATTATACGATTTGTGCAGCGACTGCAAGCCCTCAAACCACTTTATAAGATCGATATAATAGGTCTCTACCTCAACCACATACCCTTCCACACAATCCTACTATGCAAATGAGTGGGTATATTCACATATTTTGAATTCGTAGGCAAGTCTCGAGTGCAGGTCAGGGGTGCACAGTGAATTTGGTTGGGGGGCCCAATCTTACACACGCTACATAGGTCACATTTTATTGATGTAAAACTAGAAATGAAAATCAGCGAGCAAAAAGATTTCCGATCTGCACTCGAATTTCGATCGAAACGTTGGCTACCTTGTGATACATATTTTTCCTCAGTTCTTCTAGGCAGATACAAGAGCCGGGATAACTCAGTCGGTATAGCGACTGGCTGGACGACTGAGGGGTCCGAGTTCCCAGCCCCGGTGGGGTCTACAATTTTCTCTTCTCCATATCGTCCAGACCGCCTCTGGGGCCCATCGAACCTCATATTCAATGGGTACCAGGGGTCCTATCCCCGGGGTAAAGAGGTCGAGGCGTGAAGCTGACCATTTGCCTTCAATTAATGCTGAGGTCAGGAAAATGTGGCTCTATACATCCACATCCCCATACGCCTTGATGTCGCAGTGCTTAATTAGTTGACTACAGATACATTTTATTTACCTTCTAGGCAAACCCGGGATAATAATTTGAAATACGCCAGGACCACTTCCTTCCATATAATTCCCAATTCATAATTCATTAGCCATCTTGCCATTTAAGGAACTCCATGCAGCTGAGTCCTTCTTGGCAAGCTGTCGGTGGCTCAGCTTCTCAAGAATTTCCCAGCAATTTATGCAAGCGGAAGTTCACTACCGTGTTCAAAAGAGCCCTCCACTGGTCCCTATCCTGAGCCACATGAATCCTATTTCCCTAAGATCAATATTATATCTTCCCACCTACGTCTAAATACAGGGTGATTCTAAACTACTGAAGGGGCTTCCGTGGCCAAGAAATTTTCAAGCCGGAAACAACAGAATGAAACTGCTGACGGAATATGACGTCATTCGGCATCACTGATTCTATAGGAGATAAAACTTTTCGAGTTATAATATTATATTATTAATTATTAATTAATACTCCTCCTCCTGGTGCTCATTTCTGTTAGAGGCTGAGTCGAACCCAGGGTCATACTGAGGTTGGAAGGAATAGGTCAATCGAGGGAAATCAATCTCATTGAGAATCGAACCCGCGACCTTTTAACANCTGATGACGCTGCTTCCGGCATCAGTTTTTGGTGTCTCTCTTCGTCTGATGCCTACCCTTTGACCTGTCCAGCAAGGGAGGCCCTGCCAGTAGCTACGCTACCGCTGGTATAGCTCTCAGGGTCCTTGGCATACTCAAACCCCCTCACCACGATTAGGTGGATCCACCAACGAGGGGGAATACGAGTTAAAACGTTTTAAATTCAACAAAAAAAATACTTTAACATGGATGGCCAGAGCGTTTCTAGGCAATGACCTATAAACAACATTCAGTTGAGTGAGTTACAACAACAAGACGAAAGTTTATAGCTTGTTGCTAGACGAAAGTCAGCGCGCCAATGGTTTGGCAAGATAGCTATCATGTGACAGGTTTTCTATGGATCCGCGCTGCGACCTTTCGTATGTAACGGCTAAGTAAACAAACCTCATCAATAGAGAGACTGCTTTCTGTGCGGTCCAGGCTATATAACGAGAGCTGGGAGCCGTAAGTTCAGAGGGCGTCGAATACCCCCATCGTTACCCTGTGAGTCGTAGGAGGCGACAAAACGGGAAGTCTCAAATCTGAGACAGTAAAATATGGTCACGAATCCCAAGGGACTCGGACCCGAAAAAGACTTCGCTGGCAAGGGCCAGCAGCATATACAAAATACAGATCCATCCTCTCGTCAGAGAGGGCGTCCCACGAAAAGAAGACTGTAACTGTGAAACAGCAATAAATATCTGGTGATGAGCCCCAGATGGGGCTCGACACCAAGAATTACTGACTGACTGACTGATTGACTGACTGACCGTATGTCGCAATGTGACTCTGACTTTGGAAGTTCTGAGCGAACCGGAACTAGAGGTGACATTGGCAGTGACAGAGTTCTCGGTGGGAGACAGTCACGGAAAGTTCGTCGACTTGTGAAGATTTAAAGAGTGATTAAAATACTTCATTCATGTGTAACATTTTGGATTGATTTCAAGCTCTATTTCCTGTGTTTTAACTGTTTCACCATGAGAGGACGCGTGTGTGTGGAAATCAGTCGCAGCGCTGTGATTAAGAGAACTTGTAACCAAGCTGCCAATAAATCCAATCAACCGAACTAGAACCTGTCATTTTGTCATGTGTGCCCCCCCCCTACACGTGGCAATATAAACAGTGGTTCTTTCTTCAACACTATTTCAATGGTACGACTAATACAATATGAGCACTTGCAATTATACGTGTATACAGAAAACATAAATTTCTTATAGGCATAACTTTGCTGGATAATTAATATTTTGCTGTGAAACGGTAATTTGTTTCGGTCTAAGATTTTCCCACTCCTGATCTAGGATTGAAACGATATTTACACATAACAACTCTATGTAATTAATGACGTCAGAATTGCACATTACATAACGGTTAATGCATGGATACTATTATGTTTGATGAATCATAATAAATCTGTAATTTGTGGTTTTATATTGAAATGGTCTTGTCTATCAGCTACTCTTGTGGTGAATTAATTACTAAATGACTTACCAGAGGATGTAGAGTCTTTGCATAATCGCAAACTGTCCCCATAGAACGCCAGAATTCAGTATGATTTATAGAGTTCCTGTAAATAAATGCAAAAATTGTGTTATTGTATCTCAAGTTCAGTCCAACCACCGCAATATACAGAGTGTCCCAGGAGGAAAGGTCATAATATCGATCATTCTAAGTGAAAATTTGTGTATGTACATGTGTCCTGTTCCGAACGGTTTCCGAGATACAGCCATTTCACTGTACAGTTCCAAAACTGTTGATAAGAAAGAGATATTACGTACTGTTTCTAATACCTGTATTTATTGTTCAAGTGACAACGTTGGCACAGTTTACTTAATACAATACATTTTCGAAAGTTCCACCATCAACATCAATGCACTTTGCAACTCGTGGAAGGACATGGCGTGTTGCTCGTCTGTACAGTGTACAGTGAAATAGCTGTATTTCGGAAACCGTTCGGAATAGGGCACATGTACATTTACACTGTTTTGCTTAGAATGACCGATACTATGAGCTCCCAGGATACTGAATTTTTCTCCTGGCACATTCTGTATACAACAGTGAAATCACCTGACAACATACAAAATAAGAGAGCCATATTACCAGCCATGAGAACAGCTCCATGAAGAAAATTTGTTGGAAAACAGCCACATATATAGGTCGGATAAAAAGTAGTGGCAACGCCTCTATAGTTCTGAAATGACTTTATTACTGAGGTAAACACACTTACATTCCTTCAATATAATCGCCCCCTCCATGTGTACCACCTTCTGCCAAATTTGTGGAAGGCGTCGTACACCATCAGCGCATCCACTTCCGTTGATGTCCAGCAGTGACCGCCCTACAGCACGAATAATCTCCTCTCTTGTGTTGTAACGTGTCCCTCGCAGTGGTTCTTTCATTTTGGCAAAGAGATCATAATCGCACGGACTCATATCGGGTGAGTATGGCGGATGTTGCAGTATCTCCCATCGCCAGTGACGAAGGAGATCCTTGAGAGCCTCAGCAGTATGAGCCTCTGCATTGTCATGAAGGATGATGGGGTTCGTTGCCAACAAGTGTCGTCGCTTTCTCCTGAGTGCTGGACGAAAATGATTTCGCAGGAAACTGCAGTAGTAGACAACGTTTACTGTCTGTCGTTGAGGTACAGTGTGGTGCAGTATCACTCCATCAGTGTCATATGCCACAATGAACATCGCCTTCACACTACTCTGTGCAGGGCGCACTTTCTTTGGACGAGGAGAGCCAGGATGTTTCCATTCATTTGATTGTCGCTTCAAGCGCGGTTCGTATGAGCGAGCCCAAGTTTCGTCCAGAGTGACGATCCCTCCAAGGAAGTCGTCACCTTCCCTCTGGTACCGGTCCAACAAGTCCTGCGCAACTGCATAACGCTGCCATTGTTGCACCTCGGACATTGTATGGGGTATCCAACGTGCTGCAATTTTGCGGTATCCAAGAATATCGTACAGAACGTGGAGCACTGTTTTGTGACATACGCCTACCTCAGCAGCTAACTCCCGCGCAGCCCATCGACGATCGACATCCAGCAGAGAAGCAAGAAGCTGAATTTTGTGTTTGTCAACATGGGGTCGTCCTGAACGACGGCTGTCCTGAATTGCATCCCTCCCTTCACGGAACAATTTCACCCATTGTGCCACTGTGCGATATGGCAAAGGAGCATCACCACGTGCTTCTAGCTGTCCCTGATAACAGTTTTGTGCACTACGACCTCGTGCAACTTCAGTTTTTATCCAGGAGCGTTGTTCTTGTTTCGTAAACATGTTCTTAGTGTGCTTGAACTGGGCTCCTGCACTTCAAGACAATGCACAATGCAACTCAATTAAACACAACCAGAGCCACACATTGCACTACTTAAACTGAACTTCTGCTATCAGCTACAGACGGCGCTAGGGTCGCTTGACGCACATATTTCATCTTACAGCAGTGTTGCCACTACATTTTATCCAACCCTTCTAGAATAGAGCTAGAGTGATGCCACAACATACACGAAGAAAGCATCGCATACTTAGGCTACCGGAGCACAGGGGAAAAATACACATCTCCAGGTTGAGGGGGGACACGCGAAAGAAGAAAGCAAAAATACATTATGATTTTTTTACATAACGTTGAAAGTTTCTTCAGAAAATTGACAGCTTTCAATAATGATATTTTTTCTCACATACAGTCCCCAAGGGTGACAACTTACGTAAATGATCATATATACCTGATGATAGTCGTGTGTGTGTAGCCGAAACCTTTCGTGAATTTGTATTAAATCTTGCACTGAGTTGTGAATCTAACGATAACATCTGAAGCTGAACTGAAAATTGCAGTGTATATAAATATATATTTTAATATATACTGTATATACATATACATATAGTATAGACACGAGTATACACGAGTATAAGCCTAACAGAAAACGAAGAAACTTTAAAGTATACAGAATATACGGATATGTATAATTCTCAAAGCTATTCTTAGAACAACACCATAACTTTTTCCTACTAATGCTGCAACACAATGTACATTCTGTTTAACTTATTTCAACATGGGAATATATTGAATAAGCAGTCGCGGACAGCCAACAAGGGGTGGTCCTCCAGCTTTGGAGTTGGGCGTGGGGCTAACAACTCCTCACCGTAAAAATCATTATGTTACGAAAATGAACACAAAGCCTCGGACCTGGACGGATTCCTTGGATAAACGACCTAAGCCAATGAAAATGGATATGAGATTTCGCACTTGGAATGTACGAAGTTTGTATAGGGCAGGTTCGCTCAGGGCAGTGGCAGAAGAAGTCTTAAAATATAAGTTAGATTTAGCGGGAGTACAGGAGGTCAGATGGGATGGAGGTGGCATCGCACCAGCAAGAGACTATACATTTTTCTATGGAAAGAGGAATGAAAAGCATGAATTAGGTACATGGTTTTTCGTACATAAGAGAATCGTATCGGCAGTTAAGAGGGTAGAGTTCACTAGTGATAGGACACCATATATAATACTGAAAGGTCGCTGGTGCGATGTAATTGTTGTGAATCTTCAGGCCCCAACAGAAGATAAAATTGATGATATAAAGGACAGGTTCTATGAAGAACAACGTAGAACTCGTAGAACATGTATTTGATAAATTCCCGAAGTACCTTATGAAAATTTTGTTAGGAGATTTCAATGCCAAAGTAGGGAGGGAAGACGTTCTCAAACTAACAGTTGGGAATGAGAGTTTTCATGAAATTAGTAACGATAATGGACTTAGAGTAGTAAACTTTGCCACATAAAAAAATCTTACTGTCAAAAGTACAATGTTTCCACATCGTAACATCCATAAATTTACTTGGACAATTCCTGATGGGAAGATACACAATCAAATGGACCATATTTCGATAGACAGGAGACGGCACTCAAGTATACTTGATGTCAGATCATTCAGGGCAGCAGATTGTGATACTGACCACTACCTGCTGGTGGCAATGGTTAGGGAAAGACTGGCAATGAGCAAAGAAACAACACACAGAGTTCATATGGAGAGCTTCATTCTCAAGAAATTAAATGAGGTAGAGGGTAAAGAGCAGTATCGTGTTGAAAAACTCAAATAGGTTCGAGGGTTTGGAAAACTTAGAAACTGGGGTGGATCTTAATAAAGCTTGGGAAACTATTAGAGAGAATATAAAAATGTCTGCCAAAGAGAGTCTAGGTTATTATGAACCGAAGAAACATTAGCCATGGTTCGATGAAGGATGCTCAAAATTATTAGATCAAAGAAGCAGGCCAAATTGCAATGGTTACAGGATCCAAGCGCGTTAAAAGGGGATAATCTGAACAATATAAGACGTGAAACCAGCAGGCATTTCAGGAANACAGTAGGCAGTATTAGGTAGGAAAGGACGGTCAGAACTGAGCTTATTTTTATACCTTGAAATAGGACGCATAAACTTCCTCCGAAACACGTCACTTCATAACGACGCCGTCCCTTCTTAGTCCGCTCATATGTCCAGAGCCAGCCTCCTCCTTCCTACGTATACGCCCATAAACAGACCTATGAATTCTTCCCACGCTCAGCCTAAGTCTCTATTCTGAAGATTGGGACGGCAATTTCCATCGAAACTCTTGTAAAGCTCTGATTACATAGCAACACATTTCACAAGACAATAGCTCTCAGAGTTGCAGCCTAAGTTACATATAAGTCCCATAGTTGGTAAAGCTACATTGACACTTTTTGAACAAACATTTGTGCTTGAATCAGCATTGTTACAATAATACTAAGCCTGAGTTACGTCACACATAGCACCCTGGAATAAAACACAGGCCTCCGACGTGAAAACCCGGGGTCTAATCACGTGAAGTGTAAGCAGTCTTTGTGTATAGACGTCTGAAAATTCTGTTTTTCTTACTTCTTCCACGGAATAGGCTGTAATATTAGTAAACTTGCAAACAAAACCGAACATTATATGATAAAGCTGAGCGCTTCGGGATAATATTACTTGGTCATACTTCAGGACTTCAGAACATAACCAAAAAGCCGATAACCAAGATTATAATACAGAGTTAGCATTAAAAAGTCGTAAGGGTCGTAAAACCGAAGCAAGTCCTAAACTTCTACTAACAGTTCTCCATCAAATTTAATTAAAATTTAATACTATAAAAATCCTGTACTACAAAATCAACATGCAATGCCTATCAGCTTATTCGATGTGGGAAAGACGGAAAACTTTCTATTATTAATTAAATCTTTGTTGCATACTTCATAAAGCCACAAGAAAATGGAGGAAAAAGGAACCCGCCATGACTAGAAGCACTATAGAAGGGTTTATCACGTCATAGGTTACTTACTAAGTCTTACAAGTGGGATTCGAATCAGGGCATATAGAGGATATTTAGTATGAACAGAGGGATATCATTATCAGGATAAACCTGGAATATTCCGAACGGTAACTTATCCACTTTGTATATTTCTGTCCTATTAGCAATGCCTTTGTTAATACCGGAATCATATCTTATAAAGCCGGACAAAATATATGTTTTCCCCCACACAAAAATATCCCACTATTTCTTTGTGTTTCATCGTCAGCT